GGTCCGTTCTGGTTTTATTTGAGCTTGTGCACGAGTGTATCTTCTGGGCATATGGGGGTCCAGTTAGGTTTAGTTTAGTTGTACTTAGTTTGTTTCTGGTATGCTCGTGTGCCTTCTTTTCTTATCCGCTTTGACCTCTCTGTGTTTAGATTCTATCATTTCTTATTGTTTTTACCCTTTTTGCTCAGTCGGCCTATGATGCATGCTGAGTACCTGTTGTGTTGGTACTCATGCTACGCTCTGCATTTATTTCGTGATGCAGGTCCCAGTACCAGTTATCAGCGGTGATTAGTTCCAGCCTTCTTTTGCAGCTGTGTTTCGGAGACGAGGGCGAGCACTTGGCATTTTGGGTTTGTTCTGTCTCCTTCTTTTGTTTTAGCTAGTCTTGTTGCCTTTGAGACACGCTCTGTTGTGGTCCACTTTTGGGACTTGTACTCTTTATTAGATAGCTCTGTACTAGTGACTTCCAGGTTCTGGGAGGGATTTCTGTATATATTTATTTTGGGTTGCTTCCGCCTTGTTATTCTTGTTTAGATTATTGTGTTAGGCTAGTTTCTGCCCTTTCGCTCATTGCTTGATGTTCTGGGTTACGGGTTGGCTTACCTACTGGTAGGGTATAGTAGGTGCCATCATGACTCGAGAAATCGGGTCGTGACAATTATTTAATCCCTTTTATGTTGTGATTATTTTGAAGTTGAGACCAGCTTTAAGTTTTATAAGTAAATTTCACATTTTTTTGAATTTGTACGAGTTGATTTTTTACTTTTTCGATCTTGGGACACTATATTAATGGAAGGTTCAAATTTCTTTGATGGTAGATAAATGTATCTGTTATATTGGTTAAGTATTATGTTATTATAAGTAGACTTTTTTAATAAAGGGGCCCCAGATGGGTTGCTAGCTAGAACTCGATGATAGAGTAATGTCAGTTTCACCATCTGGACCTAGCAAGAAGCATAATTCTATTTTAAAATTTCGTTTCAGTGAACAAGAGAATTCAAATGGCAATACCATGAGACATTATCACATTGGTTTAAGACTATTTTTTTATTGTTAGATTATAAATGTTATAGACATAGGTTAAAAAGGTATATTTATTGTAATTAAAAATAATTTCATAAAATAATATAACCGAAACTTTATGTAAGCTTATCTACATAACCTAAATTGTGGTGACAATTAATTTCACCAAGTATGTTCTATTAAAAAAAAAAAATAGCAATAAGGCCTGAAAGCTAAGGGACATTATATATTGTATAACATGTCAAAAAAAATAAAATGTACACCATCACATGCAAGCCTGCACGGACAATATATAGTACATATGAAAAGTCAAATGATTCTAGGTGTTTGTTTCTAGCATACCGTCCTAATAAGTTTGGGGTCTAAAGCCAAACTTTATAAAGGGATCTTATTTTTTTTATTGACATATATAAATTGAATAATTATAACATACGAGGTAGGATATATGCAGACATTATGAAATAAGAATGTAAATTTTCAATGAAAAATATATAATATAAAGTTAAAATAATTATAAAACCTGACTCAAAAAATTGAAAACTTTATAGATTGATATCGAAATAGTGTTGTGCTGAATTTGATAAGTTAATATAATGATATAAAAATAGTGTTGTAGTATTTTGAAATTTGAAGAGGACACCAACGAATTTGATTTTTTTTTATGAACACAGAACAATAGATTTTGCCTAATGCAGAGGGTTTGACGTTTGAGAGACTTTAGAATATTCGATAATGAGGAGAAAAAAAATATGAAAGTGGACTAAAAAAAAGTAAATATAAGAATAATAATGTTGGTTCATGATAATCGTCTGAATATAAATGAGGCAACAAAATAGATAGTCACATAAGAAAGGTTTCTACAATTAACTAAATATTAGTATTCTATTTCTCAATTATTACAACGATCTCTATATTAAATGAGGTAAAAAATTATTATATTTTCTATCCAATTTTTTTTCCAAATTTATCAATATATGAAATTTTTTAACAATATATATATGTATACCTTCTTGATTCTTGGAAGAAAGTAGGAGCCTCAAAAATATTGAGGCCCCAAGCGATTGCTTTAGTGATCTTGTGATCGAGACGACCCTGATTTCTTGCTTTCTACGAGAATTTTGAATTTAATGGACCGTAATGACTTCATATCTACATCAAGATTTCAACGAAATCTAATTATTGTGGTCATTTATTTTTTAAGGTATTAGGAACATCCTTATAATAAGCACGTGCTACTATTTTAGGAACACCAAGTTATGGATAGGAAATATGTGGATGTTGAATTTTCATTTTAGGAGAAAAAAAAGCATAATAAAAATAATAATTAATCTTGGTAACTTTTACATTTTAGGGATGCTAACCTTCTATAGTTTACTAAATTAAATTCGTAAATATTATTTTTTTATATACTTTTTTTTTTTTACCCTCCCTAGGAGCTCCCACCCCTTTTCCTCCGTTGGTGATTCGAACTCGCAACCTTCGAGTTGGAAATGAGGGGTGCTTACCATCCGAGCAACTCCCTCTCATCATATATTTTTTATATACATAAATCTCAAGAAAAAAAAATACTCCAATCAAATCTGTCAACACAAAATGAATTAGGTGGCAATGCTAACCTTCTATAGTTTACATAAACTGCTTGTACGTATATACGTAAATCTCAAGAAAAAGAAATACTCCAATTATTGAGTCTAGTACTCCTTACTCTTGTATATATTTACATCTTATTTGTAACTTTAGATTACAACTCTAAGCAAAATAAATGTCAACGAGTGAGAGTAACTCCGAGCTTCTCCAAGCTCAAACTCAAATTTGGAACCATATTTTCTCCTTTATGAGTTCTTCAGCGTTAAGATGTGCAGTTCAATTAGACATTCCTGATATTCTTTACAAACATGGTAAGCCTATGCATCTTTCTGATCTCTCTACTGAACTTTCCCTCATAATAGACCCTTCTAAGATCTCCTTCTTGCCAAATTTAATGCGATTTTTAGTTCATTCTGGTATAATAGAACAACATGATCATGATTACTATTCTCTTACCCCTTCTAGTCGTTTTCTTGTGAAAGATGAGCCCTTTAATTTGAGATCACTCGTGCTTCTCACCCATGATCCATCCGTTCAAAAAGCATGGTTTGAGTTAGGTAATTGGTACAAAAATGATATTCCCACCTCATTTCATACTGCTAATGGAAAATATTTCTGGGATTACTTTTCGAAAGAACCAAAATTAGGTGATATTTTCAATGATGTAATGGCTAGTGAGTCGGGATTGATTGTCAATATGCTTATCACGGAGTGTAGGCACGTTTTTGAGGGGTTGACATCATTGGTAGACGTTGGAGGTGGCACTGGCACGATGGCGATCGCCATAGCCAAAGCTTTTCCTTCCATAAATTGCATTGTATTTGATCTTCCACATGTTATAGAGGACCTCAAGAGCAATGGAAACATGGAGTTTGTTGGAGGTGACATGTTTCAAAAGATTCCTAATGCTAATGCAATCTTACTCAAGGTACAAGTATAGTTCTTTAGAAATTATTTTTCAAAAAATATATATATTGTTATCACTTCTTTTTTAATCTCTCTTGAGCAATTTCGTCTTGTCAATTTGTTTACTTAATCATGATTAACTAATGTATAGTTTTATGACCTTATTAAGAATATATGATTTCATAATCAACTACCATGATTTGTTATAAACATGAGGTGTGCTCTATTTGTGCACATAACTATTTAATATTTTTCATTAATTCTTGCTTTTTGAGAATATAAACTTATTTTTATTTTTAACTTGTTTTTTTCACTTGACTATTGGTATTCATATTATTCACCTTTTTTTTTTTAATATGGCAAATATGGGTAAATTTTAGGAATCACATAGTTTTAATATGAAATTACAATCTATCCCTCTTTAGTTTGTAATTACATTAATCCCTTAAAAAGTAACACAAACCGGATACATAATGTGTAGCTTGGATACATTAAAGAGTATCTCGGATACATTATAACATAAATCGGATACATAATATGTAACTCGGATACAACAATATGTAGCTCGAATACATTAAAGAAATAAGAGATTTTAGAGGTTTTTAGAAATAGAAGGGGATATTGGAAATAAGGGAAACATAAGACGTGTATTTTTCCAAATATATTTTTGACCCGTTTAAAGTTTGTTGTCCATTAGTGAAAATAAAATTCCATTCAGAATATATGTTTGAATTTTTCTATCATATTAAACAGTGGATTTTACATAACTGGAATGACGAAGATTGTGTGAAGATACTGAAAAAATGCAAAGAGTCAATTCCGAGTAGGGATGAAGGGGGGAAATTGATCATTATTGACATTGTGTTGGAAGATCCAAAGAACATGAGTGACTATGTTCGAGCACAACATAATATGGATATGATGATGATGGTTTGTTTTGCTGCTAAAGAGAGAACTAAGAAGGAATGGGAAAAACTCTTCAATGAAGCTGGTTTCAATGAATGCAAAATAACATCCATTCCGGGTTCAAGATCTCTGATTGAAGTATATCCTTGAACAAGTGTTGTTTCGCCATGATCGATGATGCTTGTGCTATTTGACTTGGGTTCGAACTTAATCATATGTGTCTTCGTATTTTGCATTGGGTTTGAGTATGTACGTGTGAACAACTTTATATTTTCATTCATGTTGATGATGCAATTATGTACAACAATTGATCACTTATTATTGGATATGTTGATATTATCTCGTTTGGTAGGCTGCATTATAAGAAATAGTCTATGTATTATGTATAAGATTATTTAGTACTATGTTTGTTAGGAATTACATCCTACATGGTATTATAGAATGTATTACTAATATCTTCTCTTTTGGAAGGTATTAATAATACATAGGATATAATATCATGGGATAAATGTATGTAAAAACAAAAATATCCCTCAACTCATTTTAATTATTTTGTTTAATTTTTTGATTTTATGTATAATATACTCTGATAATATCATTAACTAATGAGTAATTTCCGAACAAGAAACCTTAATGATACCTATGTATATATATATCCTATGTATTGTCGACCCATCATTCAAAAGGTAAAGTTTACCTACATAACCTAAATTGTGGTGACTATAAATTTCACCAAGTATGTTGTATTAAAAAAAAATATTTAGAAATAAGGCCGGAAACCTAAGTGACATATATTGTATAAAACATGTCATTGTCTATTAAAATTAATGTACAGTACTATCACATGCAAACCTTGAGGTGTTTGTTTCTTGCTTTCTATCAGAAATTTTTGAATTTTATGGCTTGTAATAATTTCATATCTACATCAAGATCTCAACGATATCTAATTATTGTGGTCATTTATTATATAATATAATATAATATATATATAGTATTTCGGGGGAAAAAAGTATTAAGAACATCCTTAAAATAAGCATATGCTACTATTTTCTTTGATATAAAGACACCTATACTAAAACAAACCTGAATAGATCATTATAATAATAAGAATGAAACATGATTACAACTTTAGAATAGTACTTACAACTCTCAAATTACTGGATTACAATGGAAATATTGAAATTACAAGTAGCTAAAGGATAGAAATAAGAATGGGATGAGAAGTTTAGATTCCTAGAAAGAAGATGATATGAACAGACGGTTTCTTCACGAATTACATAATCCTCCAAAATCGCATATGACAACCATTTAAACTAGGGGAAACTAAGCAAATACCACATAAAATAAAATAATTACAAACATATACCCCTTTACATTCATACCCCACTAAATAATTACACAATATACTCCTCAACTAATTTCGCTTAATTAATACTAAATCAGTATCATATATTGTATTGGTATCACTAAGACTGCTAATTTCGCTTAATTGACACTAAATCAATATATATATTATTTTATTTTTTTTATTTTATTTTATTTTTTAATAAAGGAAACCTTTGTAATGGTATTTTCATGATTATTATACGTTTCTACTAATAGATTTGATTGAAAAATTGGGGGTTTGATCCCTAAATTTGGAAAATGAAATTTTGGTTATTTGGAAGTAGAAATAAGTGGGACTACATAACCTCAAACACATCGACGATTAAATTTTTAAAAAAATTTAGAGTTCAAGAAATCTAGCTCATATCCTTTTCTCCTATATTCAGACACAAAAATCTTATTATAAAGAGTAACACAACTCTATAACGATCAAGAGAAAATAATACAGGGAGGTTTACACCAATTAATACTTTTTATCAAATACAATAAATCATTAAAAAAAAAGAGAGATGTTAACTCTAAATTATGTAAGTTATCGAGTCACATAGTTTTTGAACTTTGTTTTTTATTTATTTAAATTATGTAAGACTTTTAATTACTTTAAGAGCCATAGATAATGACATCATCCAATTCCCAACCATTAAAACTAAACGGACACATGGCACGATTGAAGTGCATCATTAAACAATACTACTTGGAAAAACATCCCATTCCATAAAATATCTATTATTCTGTTCATTATTAGGATTTTGTTTGATTAATTAAATCTCAATCACTATATTTTAATAGTAACATGTGTCACTTGTCTAAGTAAGAGTTTGCAAGTGGAGATCTGTGACAAATAGAGATGAGAAGCGACAAAAACTAATTCAGAATTGTTTAAATCATATGAAAATATCAAAGACAAATCAAGAATGCTATTACTGAATTAATGGAGATTTTGTTACTATGAAATTCATCTTTTTAAGATAAAGAATAAATTAGCTAATATAATTTGAAATAATTACAATATTATAACATGATTATTCAACGTTAATGGACATGTTCCAATTTTATTTTATTTTTTGGACAATTTTATTAAATCATGCTAATAATCATAACAATACTAACACATGTAAAGGCATATGACATGTTATTCTATTATTTATTTTTTTATAAGAATTAAGTTTTGCTCTACTCTACTATGATCCATCTTATTTAAATATTTTTTGTCCGCCTTATTAAGATTTTTTCTATTTTTCCCCGTCTTAATTATCATTTTTATTTTCTAGTGATCACATGACATGTTCCTATTTTGCCCCATCTATTTTTATTTTTATTTTTTAGTGATTAAATTTTTAAAATAAAATCTTACAAGTGAATATTATATATTAATTGTTTTTTGAAACACACATAGTTTTTACTCACATCTTTCATAATTCCCAAGATATCTATTATAGGTAGTAAAATTATGAACCCCCCCACACACACACACAACTCTCGCTCTTATCTCCATGATATTTATTTAATTAATCATATATGAATATTTTAAAAATAATATCTTTTTATTTTATTTATTTATCACACATATACACATATTGTCACATACTCCATTATTGTTTTATTTAATTTCCTCTTTTGGCTAAACCATGAGAAGTATCAAAAGGCCATGTTCTATGAACTTGATAGTTTGAATAGTATAATTATTAATACTTGGTATGCTAAAAGTTGGCTAGATTTGTTTTTTTGCAACAAACAAAGAGGCATGTGTTCAATGTACCTTTAACTCAATTAAAACAATCGACAAAGCTATAGATAGAGTCAAATAAGCAAGTTCGACTCAATTAATAATTATTTTTTTTTTTAAAATAATTTTTTTATTTTATTTAATTAAAAAATGGTTCTTAGAGATAATATATTTTAAAAATTTATACGATATTATTTTATACTTGGTATGATATTTAAGATTTTTTTTTTAAAAAAAATTGTGATTTAAAATTATTATTAAATATTTATGTAACTAAAAGAATTTTCATTAGATGAAAAGAGAAAATTTAAAAAATAAATTATTTTTAATTACAGAAAAGTTATACTAAAAATAAAAATATGTTACATATATTTAAATAGAAAAAATAACTATTAATTAAATAATCACGACAATAATCAAATCCAAACATGAGTCACTAAAATTTTCAGTCATCAAAAAGATAATCTTGATTTGATATATGTTATAAAACTGAAAAAATCGTCAAAAATATCTTTTTGAATTATACAAATTGAATAAATATATAATTAAAAGTTTAATTTAAAAATATGTTTATTATCAATAATTTAATTCAGAAATATCCCTATTATTATATAACGTGTAAATAAAGTCTTTTTCCTAATATATATATATATATATAAATCCAAACACATTTTATTCCTGAACAAAATATTACTTTCAAAGAATATTTTTCTTCTGATATCATCTTAACTAGTAAATAAATAATTAAAAATTATTATTAGGAAACGAATGTGTGTAAAACAGAATGAAATAATATATCGAATTATTTGAAAAAAAGGTATATTTGACTTATTAAATAATAAAAAGAATAATTTTTTAATTAAATTATTAACGAAAGTGATTTTTTAGAACAAATGACATTTTTGTTCAATTTCACTTAGCTCAAAAGATACTTTTTAAACTTTTTCTGTATAATTAGGCTCCTCACCCCATCTCTCCAATTGGTTAAATAAATGGTCACTGAAAAAATAGAACATCTCATTTTACTATATTCAATAACTTCTCTTATAGTCACAACAATTATTATATGGGCTTACGATACTTTTCAATGGCCGAAAAAATCATGTTTGAACATTAAAATCTTTGGTAGAGGCCGCCTCGCCACAATATCCGACGTACCAAACCTCTACAAACTCATGTATCAAATGGCAAAATATCACAATTATACTAAAGTTTTTAATGCCACGGAAGCTTTCGTTACTACCAACCTTTTCAAATCCGATAATCCATGCCCTCCTTTCTACTCGGTTACCACACCTGACTCTTTTCCTCAAAATACCCCTAGAAAATCCCATTTTCAACCCAATTTTGAAAACAATTAATCTTGATTCACCTTTATTAGACTTAGAACTAGAACTGTTCAAAACAAACAACAACATATCCAGTATAGTCTCAAGTGGATAAACCCTTATCTTGTGAAGGTACATAAGTTGTTTTCCCGATAAATTCTCGACTCAAGAATTGGTCAGAGCCAATGAAGATAATAACGTCTTCATAGTTGGCTATGTTCTTTTTTACCCTTGCTATTCGGGGTACTTTGACAAACTGGTTTTTTTGTTTTATTAAGAACATGTATGTTAGGGAGTGTTATAGAAAGTGTGGATTTGGGAAAATGTTGTCAAAACGTTTTTAGGCTTTTCTAGTGAAGGACTTGATGCATTTGCTACAAGTGAGGATGCTAATAATTAGTTTAGATAGAACTATTAAATATTAATTCTAAGTTGTATGTCAAAATCTAAAGTCATCAAAAGATTCAATACAAGTGTTTCATATTTAAGGGATCGTTTGTTAGGATGACTTAGAAAAAAATAATACATGTTTTACACTGATATATTGTTCAATATACTTTTTCAATTTATGTAATACATGAAAAATCATGATATTAGCAATACAAGGGGTTTATATGTATGCATTAGCATGAATACAATTGCTCTCATAACCTTTTTCACACATCCTTTTTGTTATATTTGTGGAGGGTATTTTTATGAACAAATAAATATTTTGTTTTAAAAATATGTCATGCATGTTTTAACAGCTTGTCAAGCTATCTGGCTAAGGAGAGTGTTATCAGATCTCCAATAGGAGCATCAGAAGGGAGCAACATAGATATTTCGCAATAATAAAGCAACTATCTCCATAACAAAGAGTGTGTGATGTATTACAATATCGATATTTTAGAATTAGCTATTTATTCTTAGCCCATATATCATTTGGACATATTTTGTTATTGTTATATTTTCTAATTTGTCTAAAATTAAAAAAATTCAGACAC